TTCTAATCATATTTGACCATAAATACAATTACTGTCAATTCAGGGCACCTGCAGCTGCTTTAGAAATAAATGAAAGCTACAAGTATGTAACTGTTTTGAAAACACTTTTTTTTAATGCGTTGAAATATAGGCTGTTGTAGCTAACTCTAGGACAGTTTCATAGGATAAGACTTCTGCTTTTTAAAGAGCAATCACTGAATCTTATCTGTGAAGCCACAGCTGCAAGTTATATGGACAGCTTCTTAAGCGAGGAACACGCAGGACACATTACTTCCCAGGAAAAATAAATTAAAAACCAAATAAAGTTGCAGTTAACTGGTATTTGGAAGAACTTCATAACAAAGTGGAACACATTATAAATATAGCCAGATACCTCAAATCATGATTACAACAGAATATTTTAGATAAAGAAAAGGAAGAAATTGATTTATGTTTATTAGTTGATCTTATTTTCATTATTGCAATTCTTTGCTACATCTATAAATCAGTAACAGTTTTTCCAAGAGTTGATACTGAACTTATTTTCCCAATCTGTTTACAATAACTGTTTACATAATGCTCTATTAATGTGAATTTTTCTATTTTTTTTCTTTTTTTACGTCCTCCTTTTGTTTAGATTTTCTGTACAATGTGTAAAAAAGACCACAGATTCAGGAGAGACATTACACTCATTACGGAAAAGTTCAGGAGCATTGCTTATTTATATGCAATCAAACTTTGGAAACAGGACATAGCTGGACTATGTAGCATGGCCCTCCCTCTTGGTAGAACTTGTGGTGTCTCAGCCAGAGGATACAATTTAGGCCAGTAGTAAAGTAACACCATTTCAAACAGAATATTGTTAAATGAAGTTGTTCCCGAATATGGCTCTCCCCTAATGATAAGGGAAAATAACTTCAATTAATGACTCAGTAATTAATGTATTGTTTAAATAAACAGTATGGCTAATAATCTCTGTATTTTCAGTAGTGCATTTCATCTCTTCAATGACCTTCACTTATTTTCCAGGTCATAACTCATTTCATTTTTATTTCAACTAACTCCCATGTACATCTATACTTTTAACTCTAATTTTTACCGAGAACAGAATGAAAAATTTTGCCTCAGGTTTTTATCATCAAGGTATTTTGAATTAGCAGTACAAAATTTGTTATTAAAAAATACTACTTGGTCGTTTTTGTCCGTCTCAAGAGCTAAGGAATAAACACAAATCTAATATTGGAGTGACAGGAACAAGAGTTAGCTTTAAGATGTGCAGACTGTTGCACACTTTCCATCTATATCAATTACATTGTTGCTGTTCCCATCTCTTTGATTCCCAGAACTGCCTTCTAATGGTTTTAAGGAATACTACATGATTTAATCTCCAAATATTTTTACAGTAAACTGCGTAGCGAAAATACCGCTGACTTCTAGCCATAAACGAAATTTCTGGAGAGCAGATGAAAAGATGATGTAGCTAAGACTTGGCTCATTTAGCGGCAGAGTAGAACCAAAGAGCTGAACTCGTGCTCCTAAGGGAATCTGGGTAGCTGTGCTGGTGGTCAGTGATTTCCATACCCTGTTCCTGGATTAAACTCACATGTTCTCATCCCAGCACAGGGGATACGTATTAACAGCGCTGAAACTCATCTTTATTACGCTCTTCAGCTTTTCTCTAGTCTGGGCCAACCCAGAAAATCAGGGAGTTTTCCTAAGTCAAAGTCCTTCTTCTCGCTTTTGCAGACACAGTTTATTTATTTATTCTTTAATACTACATGAGCTAGACAAGCTTATTGTAATAATAGCCTAATTAACACATACTGCTGCACTATCAGGGATTGATTCTTCTTAATCCACCACCTTTTTTTTTGGTTATTCTTTTATGTTATCGGAGTCTGTTTTCACATAGATCACCTAAGCTGTTCTGCAGACAAAGTTCGAGTGCTGACAATGGAAATAAATAGATGGAATACGTGGTGCCAAGAACCTGATACTGTGTTCTCTGACAATATAACCAGCAAGTCTGAAGGCAGATGGCCCTGTTTATCAAATCCTCTTGATCTCTGGGGAGTTACAAGTGCATTGGGAGCATAAAAAAATGCTTTCCTTCATCGGGAAGGGAAAATAGACATTTTTTACTTACATTTAGAAGAAGCAAAGGAATATCCAAAGTACCTAGTCAGTAACGAATGAGAAGGAAAACAGTCTGAGCTTATTTTGTGGATATAAACAAAAAGTTTGCTGTTTCATTAAAGATGTGAGAAGCACAGACAGTCTTTGGAATGAACGCAATGTATAATTTAGATGAGACGATATTGTAAGAGATCTGCATTTCGGGTATGTTTCAAAGTCCCCGAGACTCCAGGAACCACAGGTACCTATGGCAGACTTTCAATCTTGTCTGCTCTGGACATCAGCAGATTTCTTTTCTAGATATGGATTGCCAAAAATTGCTTCTGTAGTGGATTTTACTTGTCTTGTATTACTGTTCACAGAAGACAATTTAGAAGCTACAGCCACCTTAAATGTACAGCTACCAGCTGATTTAGCAGCGTTAGCTGAAAAAAGCTTTAGGTCTGCACTTTAACAACAGTGTGGCATCTTATCTGCTCTAATTCAAGCTAGAAACTTGTCATGGAGGATCCAGTGGCCGGAGTCAGGAGTGAGCTGCATTACACAGCATGGACAGGAGACATGCTTCTGATTGTTTTGATTTATATAAATACCTATAAATTTCCACTATTGCCTAATATGATAGGCATATTAAAAGTACAGTGATGACTGACAGTACACTGATTTCTCCTGCACAAATCCATGGTTAGGTTTCTCACTTAAATTTTGGTAACTTATAGGGACTGTAACGAAGATACACCTATTATGTAAAAAGGACATATAGCTTATAGAGAGAAAAAATTCTCATTCATCTTTTAGGTTGAGCATATTCATCATAAGTTGCTATTTAACAATAGCGTAGCAGTGATGATCCTTGAGGAGGGATTATGATGGAGAAAGGAACTGTAGGTATATTGTTATGCCTCAGACAGCACCTAATTCTTTTGAACTATTGCTGCTCCCCTTCCTTCAAAGACCATAAATTAATTTTATAGCTTGTAGGTCTACGATGAAAGGGATTGAAAGCATAACCATGACCACAGATAGAAATAGAGAATTAGAATTAGAAACCATTTCATGGGAAGGGACTTTTGCAACTCCAGAATTCAGTTTGCATGGTAGGAAACTGAAAGTCTTTCAAACAGCAAGAGACACAAATATGTGGATTTCCTGGATTCAAAATACAAATCACAGCTGGTTACAGGGGAATGGGTGACTGTGATCATTTTGTATTGTTACCGACAGAAGCAATGCCTAAGCAATTCTATTTTTTAAACTGTTAATATAAATGCTCTCAAGCATTAACACAAGCACTCTTTTACACTCTCTCTTGATATCTGCCACCTTTATGGACTTGCTTGAAAGAATATGCTATCTGAAAGATGTCACATGTGGCATTGACAGGTAGTTATTCAGAGTATGGCAGACAGCCAGTAAATCACTCAGTAGAGTTTTCTGTCCTTCTAGACATATCTTACAGAATCTACAATTTCTGCCTTTGCAGTATACTTCAATGTCAGACTTCATGTTCTCTCTAAACGTTTATATGTGAAAGTGACAAAAAAAGATACACATTCTCTTGCTAATTGATTTTTCCCTCCTTTCAGAGCTCAAGTGCACAAATCCCAGCATGTGTTAACAAGTCTCTCACTGTCTTTCCAAGTAGTCTGATTGCAAAGCAGGCTTTTCCTTTTTTAGGAGGGGGAAAAAAAAAAGTTTCTTTACAAACCAGGTCTTAGGGTCATTAGTACTACTAGCAGTTTGTTCAAAATCTGTGGAAAACCTTCATACCCAAAATGAAATGTTCAGTTCTTACCAGAGTATAAACTGATAGGAAAAAATATGTAACCTTTGCCTATTTCATGTAAATTCATTTTTTCAGCTGTTCAAATGTTTTTGGCAGTGAACCAACTATTCTAAGGGAACCTGCTACAAAGACTGCATTAAATACCCTAGTAGAGCTTCTGTGTCTGTTAAAACTTGGAATAAAACACAACCAGTACTACCTGTCCTGCCATATGATCAGTCTGGCCTAGAAATTTCCTGCATTATTGGATAAACACGAGCATCCAAGACAGAGTAAGAAATGGACAAGTGCATATAATACATGCTTTATGAATATTTCCATTATGACCACATAAACTAATCTCATTGAACAGCAGTTTCGCAAGTTAACACCGATTATGCCCTCAGGTACTGTGGTGGAACCTGTTTTCAAAAAACACTGATCTCTGTCCCTCTGAAATTTCAGATGTCTCTGGGAGGGCTCAGATTGACTGGATACAGCCAATTTTAGAGGATCTAAATCTTTATCACATAAATTTATATTTAAATCTCAGGAATGCAAATCTATCATTATCTAAATAAAGTGCATCTGAAATGGAAATGATGAATTTAGATGTGGTGTGTAGGCCATGGAAAAGTTTGAGTTGTAGCTATTTCAGTCTCACATATAGTCATTTATGACTGACCTTAAAACACAGGGTATTATAGTCCCTATTCTTACTTCAATGTAATTTTTTGTAAAATAGTACTAGTATGTGACAAAATATTAATTTCTGAGCATCTTTTGTTTTTCACAGTGGTTTCCAGTGGATGTTGTGAACTCCAAATGGGATTTTTTTTCCCCTTGTCCCAGCTATAGATAGCTTTAGTAAACGTTTTTCTTATGCAAACTCAAATTTGTTACAGTGAGATCCAGATTTGCTAATCCTCTTGTCTTCTTTGCTACTTCAGGGACAAAAACCACTGTGCGTGTTTTCTGGCTGGCCAGAGCCAAGGCTATGTGGGGTTACTGATGCGTCTCAAGGAGCTTGCACAAGGCCTGCCAGTAGACATGGGAAACGCACACATCCCACATGTCCCAGGTCCTAAACCAGATTTTAACTCAGTGGAATTAATTTTACCTTCACTGTAGGAAATGTATCGGCCTTAGAGGTGCTGGGAAGTACTAGGGGTGAGCTTCTTTCTGGCAGCTACAGTCTGGGTCCTATCATGGAGCACTGTGGAAAAACAAAAGAAAACAAAAGACTTTCAGACAAGATGAAAATCTAACAGAATGACAGCTCATACTATTTGTAGCAGGCCTTCAAAAAAAAAAAAAAAAAAAAAAAAAAACCCCAAAAAAAAAAAAAAAAAAAACAAAACCAAACCCAGACAGACACAAGGAAGCCAACTGGGACTTCACCTAGAGTCTGGGAATACCTAAAAACTGACTAAAGTTGTGTTGGAGCACTACAGATATTTCTGAAGGTGAGTAAAGTTCTGAAAAAGGGAAAAAAAAAAAAAAAAAAAAAAAAAAAAACCCCAAACAAAAATAACTAAAACAGACAAACAAAAAAACCTCAAGAAAACAAAAGAATAGCCAAAAAAACCCAAAACACCCAAGTGGATGACTACAAGTCCATATTTACTTTTGACAGATTTTTTGGCAGAGATTAGGCTAGTCTAAGCAGGAACCTGTCATTATTTTAAGTTACATTCAGGTGCTGCCATTTGAAATGGTACAGATTCTTTAGCAGATCCATTCCCTTCCTGATTTAATCATTAGTGTGTTGCAGTATGGCAGCAGGTTTCAACAGTTTTTACCTGTAACTGTGACCTGGGAAAATAGGGCTTGCTGCATTTTGTTATTAATTGCCAAGCATGTTGTCTTGAAACAGCTAAAGAATTCTTGTAATTCTTTTCCAGAAACAAAATAATCTCCATCTGAGATTTCAGAAGTAAAATGTTAAACCAAGTATTCACAACAAAATAAATCCTGTCTGGCACAAGAAATGAAAATTGTCTCAAGGTAATATGCAACAACCCTCAGTAACAGTAAATAGAGTTAAAACTTCCTTTTGTCATTTTTACCTTCAACTGTGATTTAATTCTGATTTGTCATTTTCAGCACTGTTCAGTGTTTTGATTCTGAGATCAATGGATTTAGATAAAATGGCATTTGAATGAAGGGAAGATTTTCAACAGCGTATTTTTAGAAGAATCAGGCTTTAGAGAAGGGGGAATTCTGCTAGGGGAAGGGATTGACTTCTCCAGGGTTTCCCAGCAAGCCGCTGGCAGGACAAGAAATAGGATCTGGGTCTCCTGGGGCTGCGCCCGCTGTTCTGTCCAGCGGCCTCCATGGCTGCTTTTTATAAGTAACAGTCACAAAAAACAGGGCCAGCAAAATGCCTTCATCGTAAACCAATAAGCAAGATGTATTCAAACGCTTCCAGCAATTGTGAGCCATTGATTCACAGTCATTCCTCAAAACACTGAGCATGAAGAGCAGCAACTCTTTTCATTCCTGCAGTGCATATCTGCACGGCACAGGCATTAGGCAGGGAAGGAGCTGCCTAATTAGGAGGGCTTGTCCTGCCTTTAATGCAGCTTAAGAACAGCTGCTTTAAGTTGCATTATTGGCCTGTGGATGCCACTAAAGATGCTTTCTCCCCTTCAAAATGGATCTGTTCTGTGGCCTTTAGCAAATCAATAAATCTACTTAAATAGGATGGAAATACTCTGATTGGGAAAGTGCCTTGTGTAGGGTGTGCCAGCAAGTTACCGGCTGCCTGCTGTCACCTCCTAATCCAAAAGGAGTAGTCGCCATTTAAAATGACATATTGCACTATTTGTAGAATTTTCTAAAAGGCTGCTTAGCCAGGTGCAACTCTGTTCTCACAGGGGCAGGAGCCACAGCTGTAAATGGATGGAAATCCGGAATTTTGTAGTGCCAGTGAGAGAGGATCACCAGATGGGAAATTTAGCAGGAAATCTCAGTGCCATTATGAATCTCCCCTTCTGCATTTCCAAGTGAAAAAGAATGCTTGAATGCTGAAAATTATGACATATTAAACAATTATTGTGAATTGCAGATAGCTGGCTCGGTTATACCTGAGGTTCTGAAATTACAGATGGCAAATTTTAGAAAGTATTGTGATGTGCTTTTGCTGAGGATATTAGGGGAGCAGGGAAAAGTGTACAGAATCTCTGACAATGGCTTTGTTTGGGAAACCCAAACAAAGGCAAAGAGGGAATTAATACACAGAAGCTTGTAGATGTACTCTGTTCAGAATGACACAGTCTGCTGCTTCTGCCGTCAGCTGTTTAGTAATAAAAATTAACCAGCAAATATTGAAACTCTGTCCTCATAGCAAAAGAGTTGCACACAAGTTTATAGATGCAATGTTAGATTAGTTAGATCTCTGGAAGTTTTTTAAGGAGCGCTTTTTTGCGTGTGAGGCATACTGTCCTGGAGACAAGTCGGGAAGGGGGTCTTAGCTGGGAGGAGGCTGTTGGAAATTACCTGTATTTACAGTAGGAAAAATCTGGCTTTTTGAGGAATGATAAACAATTTTTTCACAAAAAGCTTCCTAAAACTTATTTGTTATAGCAGGCAAATTTGATCATCACCAGAAGTCATATATAACATATATTGATAGATGAAAATATTCATCCTACTGTACCGGAAGACAGCTAACAGACTGTAGCATTAAGCACTTACTCTTTCCATAAGGCTTTCTTTTGCATGTTTCCATGCAGACATTTCAAGGCACATGGAATTATGTAGAGGTATGCCAGGAATGCTTTTTGTCTTCATAACTTGTAGGATGGTCACACAGGTGAATGCTCTCAACTTTTGTTATTCATGTGGAAATAATAGAATATTTTTACGTCTGCTGTAGTAATACTTTTTTTTTTTTTTAAGTTATAACTCCTCAGGTAAGATTTTAGCTCCCTATATTAAGATGACAATGTGACAGCAACATTAAGGGTAGAATGTACTGTCTTTATCATTTGACAAAAAGGTGGAATAAGGATACCTACCAAGAAGATCTTCTTAGGTGTCTTCTGATGATTCTTCTGACACGGTCTCATAACAGCCAATTATGCTGAAGTTACTTCAGTAAACATATGTTATATAGATTTAATATTCAATAATTAAATACTTGTTTCCTGGTCTATATAATTTGAGAAATGGTGTATTGAGTACTGACCTAGAAATCAGTTCAGGTGTCCTTATTGTGCCATTGGCTTCCTCTTTCAGGGGCCGACTTTGGATGTCTGGTACCTGAGGAAGAATGTAGGAATTGATGGGATTTCCAGAAGTAACAGATCTTAATTAAAGCTTAACCTATATGAAGACCAACTCGGAAGGTACAAGCTGTGGACTAAGTTGAGGGAGGTTCCGGCTACGGAACAGTTATCTCTGTGACTTTGAAACTAGCCTCTCTTTTGTCTGAAGAACACGTCTGTAAAGTGGAGATAACAGTGTGGTATTGGAAGGAAAAGAAAGAAACAAGTTGGTAAGTAGGAAATAAAAAAAGAACAATTTGTAGAATCTGGCATCTTCTTTTAAGCTAGTGGGTATATGAATTTATTTATTTTCTTTTGGATATTATAAGTTCTGAGGGGATCCAGAAGAAACAAGTTGGTAAGTAGGAAATAAAAAAAGAACAATTTGTAGAATCTGGCATCTTCTTTTAAGCTAGTGGGTATATGAATTTATTTATTTTCTTTTGGATAGTCAATGATCCTGGAAAAATATAAAGACAGAAATGGAAAAATTGCAACTGTGCATTTGACTAACTAGCCTTCATTTAAAAAAAATGGTAATTTTATGTTGAAAATATTCTATCACCTTTGTATTCAATTTATAGAAACTAAATACATGCTTTGGGATAAACACAGAAAATGAGTATCCCTAGTTAGCCTTGCATTTACTGTCAATGTCACTAAAATCACATGGCTGAGACACAATAAAACAACACAATGTTGATAATCATTATTGTGAGAAGTTTAGAAAAATGTAGTGTTATAGTCTTTAATAGAAAATTTTTAATTAATTGTATTTTTAATATATGCTTCTCAGAACTGTTCCAGTGAAGTAAGCAAGAAATATGAACACAAGCAAAATAATATTCCAGTCCAACCTAGTGTTTTTTTGTGTGAGTAGTGCTTACTCCTTGCTAGCAAGTCTTATTAGAGTGGTAAATACTGATGTTCCACAAACTTAGTTACAAATGTGTGCCATGACAGTGAAAAAGAAGTAATGAAAATTATACGTCTTAAGAAAGCCTTTCCTGGGACAACAGCCCTGCAGTGAAGCTAAGAACACACTACAGGTAGCTATCTCATTGCTCCACCACTGTACAGTCAGATGACTGAACCCAGCGTTTTGTGCCGCTTACAGCATGTACACATACATGCAAGAAATCCGGTGTATAATGCTTGGTTGTAAGTATTCTGTCAAAACAGGCTTTTTTTTTTTAACAAAATATTCCTATTTTCCTAGATATTTTCTAAATTAAAAACTCCCAGTAGGTAAAAAAGGCCTTTATGAAGGTTGTGGATGTTGCCATCCCAAGGTAACAAGACTTAGAGTAGTTTATGCCAACATGTCATGCTTCTGACAGGCCAGTAGGCCTTTACCAAACAGTGGGGATAAAAGATGGTATAACAGGGCTAAAAACAATAGCTGGTTTTTATTCTGTTTCCATATACTTTCATCTCAAATAGCTGGAGCTTCTTTTTTTCCCAAAAACAGAGAATACGGAGATTCTTTTGAACATCGAATATTCTCAAGGTCTTTATTAATACCAAATGACATTAAAAGTCTGATTAAGCTTTATAGTAAACTTTGAAATTAATTTAGAGATACTGAAGTTCATTTTCAATTAACAGGTGTTCCCAGTCTAGCATCTCTAGACTATTATACTTAAGAGCCTCTTTTCATTTTGCTAACATGAGCAATCTCAGACCTTTGGCTATCTTTGGGTAAGACATTCTCTAAGCACTTAATTTTTTTGTGTGGCTCATTTCATTGCTTATATATCCTGTTATTTTACTTGCCTATTGCCCATAACTGTCCTTCGAGAAGTGGTAATCAAAGTTATGCATGTTCATTTAGGAAAACTGCATTTTTCCTTTATAGAAATTCTTCTATCAGCAAAATAATTTTATTGTCTTTATACTGTATCTATTAATATATACAATAGTAAAAAAAGAGATAAAGAAAAAAGCAAGTAAGAAAGTCTGACAACAACCAATACCTTCAGCATATGGATGAGGAGTAAAAACCAAGATACGCTTTTGATTGAGACATGTCAATAGCATGTAAAGCATATTTATGTACTTAAAATCTTTAATTTTTTCAAAAGGCAAGGCAGGGAGTAATTTTATACAGTGTTTTGAACATCAACTAGTTCTGGGAAATAAGAAATGTAGGAGATAAGCTTGAAAGGGCAAGGTCAGATGTGAAACTGCTGGGACTCTCTGCAGTCATTCAGGAGGTCAGACCTTTTGGATCCAAACTTTTACAGATGGAAAAGAATCAGACAGGTCTTCCTGCATATCCAAGCACAGTCAGTGCCACTGCCAGAAAAAAGAGCAGCCAAAGGAGAAAATGGGTGGTCTGGCATTGCTTTAACAGCAGTTTGAGAAATCACTATAACACCTACCAAAACTCCAGCCTTAATGGTAATTGTTCAATTTCTGTGCCCTAGTCAAAGACTGCAGAAGGTTATTCTGTCCTCTGAAATTGCTGAATTTTACCTATGACCATGTGCCTAAGAAAATAGTCTGCAATCACTAGCAAAGATCAATAAGCATCAGCACTTCAGCTTCCAAACCTTTAAGATGTCATGCCATTTGGGCCTTTATTACCTCTATTTATCTTATTTATTATCTGGATCAATTTTATTTAAGACCAAGACTCTGAATGAGACACTATCACTTCAGAACGGTGTTTTCTGAGAAAGTGTATTTCTAAAAAAGGTCAAATGGACTGAATCACAAAGAATTTGCCTTCCTTCCCTACATGAATTACATTAAAAATAATTAGAAACGGCAGGTCTAGATTGTTAGGAAACAGCTCCATTCCAGACACAATCAATTCAAGCGCATGGTTGAAAATAACAAAACAGCAGAGGTGATAAATCTTTTTGTCTCTGTTTTGTTTTATACCTGTATTATTCCCATTCTTTTCACAGAATTTTGAAACCGAAGACGACTGTGGTGACCATCTCATCCAATGGGCCACAGAATTTCCTTAACGAATTCCTGCATCAGACCTGTAATTTCCACCTGAGCAAAAGTAGGTGCTATTCAGGCAGACACTTAATCTTGGTTCAAACACTTCAAAGGATAAACTTTCCCCCATAGTCATGGTATATTTCTCCAGCTGATAGTCATTCACACTTGTTTCTTATTTGAACTTGTCTAGAGTCATTTCCAGTATTTTGTTGTGCTTTTTCCCTGCTTATGTTTCAAATAGTTTCTTATCTTAAACTTGTAGGTTCTTACAGGTGATGGGAAAACTAACCTTAAACATAACATTTGCTGGATAAAATAGATAGCTCATATCTAAATTGGTGTGAGGCCAGTTTTCTAGGTGACCAATTCTACCTCTTGGGATTTTTTTGCCACAGTATTCTAGAAAACAGCCTTATTTTGAACAGTATTACTGTCACTGGCTGTAAATCAGTCTCCAAAGATATTTTTTTTTCAAAATTTGAACATAAATGTCTCCCACTTTTGTATACTCAGTTCTACTAAACTGAAAATATATTACTACCTATTTTTTCTTGGTAGCCGTAGTAAAATTTCAAAGTGACAAGAGAGATCTTATACTTTTCATTTGTGTCATTGAAAATACCAGTAATAGTTCATTTATTTTAAATCTGCCTTAAGCACTATCAAAGACAATAACTTTTCAGTAAACAGGGTCTACTTACCAAGATCAAAAGGAATAGATATTTATCTGTTGCAAAGAAGCATAACTCTATGGATTTCTGTCAAACGACAGTGATTTACATCAGCTCCTGGTATCACCTAGAGCTTTCCTTGAGTGATAAAGTAGATATGTTCAAACTCACATTTTTACAGCTCCTGGATTCTCTTGCATTTAATGAAGAGTAGAAACCTTACCATTTTAAATAGAATTAAAATTTAAAATAAGAACTGATCTGTTTTACAGATCTCAAAACTATTAAATACTTTTACTGTTCTCAGTTCTGAAATTAAAATCACTCTCTGTATCACAGATAATTAAATGCATATCATCTGATGATACAACTATGTAATCCATTTTAAAACAGCAATGAATAAAATCTAAGCAAACGTAACCTTGAACTCTCATAATATATTAAATCAGGAACACGTTGAATCTGACATTTATTTCCACAAAAAAATTTACTTAGGTACATACACATAGATTATTATAAAACTTGGAATTATAAAATATGGCTATGTTCCAAACTTAGGAAAGACCAATATTGTTTTGATTAGCTAGTGAAGTGAAAAAATCCCTCTGTTATGTCCTGCTGAAGGCTTTTTCTTGCCCTCGGAAAGGTCTTGAACAGGATGGTTTAGAGCTACCTGCCTGCAGAAAGGCTTGTCAGACAGAGGTCCTAGGCAGCTGTGAAAAACGTGCTTCAGAACTCCCCTTTTTTACTGCAAATAAACTCTAAAAAAATCTTAATGTTTTATATAAAGTATATATGTGTACATTTAACATACATGCATGCATTTTATGTACATGTACACGTATACATAATCTTCTTAATGAAAAAGAAATTGTTGAACTCTTAACTCCCCAGTGTAGGGTGGATTCTTGAATGAGAAGATTATTGCGAAAAGGAGACAAACCTCATCGTCTCTGAGCTGTAATCTCTGCATTTCCATCCTGAATGTCTGTGCCTTGAACCGGGGTAAGACATGAAAATTAAATTGACCAAGGATGATCAAACCAAGGCAGTTCTGGACATGCAGAGATGCAGAAACCATAGTTGCCTGAGAAGGTTTATTGTTTGAGATTATAGGTACTCGGTGAGAGCTTAGTGGGAGTCTTACGGCTTGTACTGAGATCATTTAAACTCAAAAAATCCTTCTGTACGTACAAGTCAACGACCTTTTATGGCTCTGGAGCATTACAACTGAGTTGTCGTATCATAAGCAGAACGTATATACATGTTATGGATATTTTACAATCCCAGCATAATGTACAATGGCTAGATAAAAACTGGACTTTTTAAAGGAAAGTGAACAAAAATGATCTGAAAATGCCAATTA